ACTATCGTGTTTAATAAAACTTTCCATTATTACTAATTTTCGTAATAATGTTTTTTTTTTTCAGATTTCCTTTGGCAGAATGCAAAATATTCACGAAGGAATTATTCCATCCGAACGGTATCTTCTTCGCACAGGTAATGTGCAGTTATTAGTCGTTATACCACTTACAAAAGACAATGTCGTTATCGGTAGATGTACCAATTTGCATTTAAAATTAAGTCCTCACGTATCCAGAAGACACGCTGAAATGCATAAAACCAAAAATGGTGTCTGGTACATAAAAGATTTAAACAGTAGCAATGGACTTTACTTAAATAAAGAAAAAATAAAACCAGATATATATTTTGAAGTGAACGACGGTGACGTTATCGGATTTGGTGTGCCACACGTAAAGAATGAAACCGATTTCGAGTTTATCTTATGCAGGAAACGTTATAACACCAGACAAGTTAAAACAAGACCGATTTTGATTCCCGATCCGTATTATAAATTGGCATTACAAACGAAAAAACACAAAGTGGCCAAATCTAAATACAAGAGAATCAAATTATGTAATTGTGATTCTGGCGAATCCATTAATGGTTCCTCTACACAGGAACCATTAATGAAAACCAGAATAAAAACAGTTGAAAAAATAGATAATGAAGACAATAACGATTGTAAACAGTTTAAAATAGATAAAGATTTACATATAATTACATCAAGCAACGAAAGAAACAATGTTAAAACTTCATACCCTAGTAAAAGAGAATCGTCATTACGGATCGCAACTCCATTACAAAATTTAGATAAATTGCAAATTAATTATTCATCCTCGAAAACATTTAATTCGGAAAGTATTAAATTTATTTCTTCTGACAATAAATCACAAACTACATCGTTATTATCAAAGGAAAAAAATTTAAACAATAGGGAATCTGAAAACATCGAAGAATTTTCAGTAGATAAGAATACCTCTGAGAATGAAACCCGAATTCCTCGTGGAAATAAATTATACGAGGAGAATAAGAACTTTTATATACCATTTCTGAAAAGTTTTGAAACTTCTAGATGCTACCCAAATATTGTATATAATTTGGAGAGTTCTAAACATTTCACAGAAATTATCGTTGATAGAATTATAGCAGTTATCTTAGAATGGATGAGAAGAAAACAAACTTCAAAAATCAATTTCGATTATTTGATGAAAGTTTCTCTTCATTACGATTCGTACGAAAAATATTTCAATACGTATTTCCAATTACTCGTGCTCGATTTATTCGAATTTATAAATCAATCACCCGACGAATACAACAACAATCAATTCGATGCAATTATTTTAGAAACTTCAGTAACAGAACTTTGGTGTATTAAATGCAAAATGCTACATAAAGAGAATTTTAATGTAAACGATTTGGTTGTCTTTCGAGTGGTTTCGGTTTCGGATAATATGGAAAATACCTATAAATTTGGTATTGTTACCGAACGTTTTCGGTACAATAACATCGAGAATAACTACAATAACGAATATTTAATTAAAATCCTTAAACAATACGATCTGGTTTTAACACCGGGAGTTGGTATCAGAATATCTTTTGTTTGTAACATAACCCACTTTATACAGCAGTGCGAAGCATTAGTGTGGTTAAGACAATCGTCGTTCCTCAAGCAGATAATCAAACCAGATTTTGAATGTTGCAAAATACAATCCGCCACAGAAAATCCACTGGTGGCACTCAATCGATATACCTCCTGTCAAGGGAATGCTGTTATAAATATATCACACACGTTAGTTGATTCGAATAACCGTTGCATTCTCATGCTTCAGACACCACCGGGTACGGGAAAGTGTCATACTGTTACCGGTATTATACAGCAGATTTTATTGCAGCACGATGATAAATCGAAAATTTTAGTAATGTGTCTATCGGAAAGAAGTATCGAAGAAATAGGACAGAAGTTATACGATTTGAATAACGAAAATATACGTTTTGTTTGTATTGGTAAACACCAGAAAAATTCAAAACCATTTTATTTGGAAGAAACAATCGAAAGAAATTTAAAGAAAATGTCTCCTACTATTGTTAATTTTAATTATTCGGGTTTAGTAGAAAATCTTAAAAATGAAATTATAATTAATGCAAACGTAATATTGGCAACAATCGATAATTTAAATTCCGAATTAATGAATTTCAGAAAGGAATTTACTTGTTGTATTGTGTACGATTCGACACAACTCACCGAACTACAGAATTTAATTCCATTACAATTTGGTATAGAAAAGTTACTGCTGGTAGGAGATCCACGAAGATTTTCGGCTCCGTTATTGTCCAAAACCGCCTACGAATACGGTTTTCACGTGTCGTTATTCGAAAGATTTTTCAATTATTTCGAAAGATCGACCGACAAAAGTCCGGTGTTAATGTTATGGTTGCAATATCTAATTCATCCCGATATAATTCGTTTTCCTTCTTCTTATTTTTACTGTAATAATTTGAAATCTGCCAATGTTTCGAACGAACTTTCAATTCTTCCTTATTGTGTCTTGGATCTGATCGACGTCAAAAGCCAAGATAGTTCGACCCCGGAGATGAAATTTATTGCCGAATTATGGGATGGCCTTTCAAACATAATTCCCGAAGACAAAACTGTAGGAGTGGTTACCAACTATAGACATCAGAGAGATACAATAAGAGATATCTTAATGGATAATGGTAAATATAGTCACGTCATTTCATTGTATTCTTGTGAAGGTTTACTCGACTGTCCAATATTTGATGTCGCTATCGTTTTGTATTCAGCTCCGAACGATGAAGCGAATTATAAAATACTAAATACATTACTGACACGAGCTAAATCTTCGTTGATTTTATGCGGATATTTTAGTATTATGAGCGAGTACCATTTTTGGGACGAGTTAATCAAAGATGCTAAAAGGAGGCAAATTTTATTTCGAATTCCTTCTTCTTGCAGTTATTTTGCGTGTGAAATTATCAAAACCAAGAAATGGATTCTTTTCTCGGCCGTTTAATAAAAATTATACAAAACTTCGCCCTAATTTTTATGAATTTTAAAAGAATTAATAAAATTGTTTATCCTTATTACGAATAAAATCTTTATATATTATTCTATTCATTCATTATTTTATTGCTAAAATTATTACGTTTGTATTCCAATTTAAATAATTTTTTATATTATTTTATACAGATATATTAATTTAAAATAAGTTGCAATATATTATATTCACAGATATGTTATGGTACTGTACATATATTGAAAAAGATTCAATACAACTGAATGAAAACTCGGTCCACTAACGATGCCATTGCGAGTCATAAAATGGCAAATTTAAGTAAATCAATTGAAATTGAAGTCTTTTTTCCACTCACACGAAGTACGAACAGGCCTTTAGTGCCACGCTTAATTATTATAAAATAAAGTACAATCAAACTGGGTGGTTAAACACAAAAGAATTTGGTAACGTCCCCGGCTCGCGGTGTCGCCAAATTTGACTGACTTCACCCTATTTATTGCCCTTCTTGTGAGTTCTAATCATCTTCGACCACCCATTATGATAAAATGTACTTCATGAAAATATTAAAGTATTCATTAGAAAGGAACATGGTGAAACAGGAAGAAAAGTAATCATATTTACTTTTTGTATTATATAATAACATGTAGTTTTTTTATTTCTATTTGTATAATGCTTCCTCAAATCCATCAATTTCTCATAAAAATTCCTTAAAATTTAAGCCATTTCTGTGAAAAATTTATTATATAAATAATACAAAAATTGTTTTCAAAAGTCATATAGCTTTCTTTATTGATGATAAACAATAAAATCACATTTTGTTTTTGATAAAACATCACAATCAATTAAATAATTCACATTCAAAATACATTGGGGTAAATATTAGTTTGTGTTTTTTTTTTTCTCTCATGGATCCAGCAACAAAACAAATTTATCAAAAAAAAAAAAATAATAATAATAATAATAAAAGAAAGAATCTTTTAATAATATTTTACATTCAACATTCAAATGAAGAACATCTTTTAGTAAACAAAAAGCATGGCTTCTGAATGGAATGTTCCAGTTATTAACTACTTATTTAAGGTTTCCTCCAACGAGACAACTCCTAAACAACAGATATTTTCAAAGCTATAAAAATAATAACTAACAGCAAAACTCATACCAGACTTACGGCACAGGTACAATATGAAGAATAATTATTTACATATATATTTTGTTTTTTTTTTCTTTTGGAAATTCCCAGTTTAATCAACTTCTTTTAAACTTAAGCTGATTTCTTTTGGGAAGAGAAGAGACTTTCATAAACCGTATAAAATATCTAATCAGGTTGAGAAAACTTGAAAAGTTTCTATATATACAAACATATTCATGTAAATTAAAAACCTATGATAAACTGTACATCTTTGAGTAGATAATTTAAGATTAATATTGTTTTTTTTTTTTTCTTTTTTTTAATAGGAAATATTGGACACAAACTTTAATGCACTAAATTTCACTCCTTTTTTTTTTTTTAGTTATTTATATACAATTAATTATTTAGCTGCAGTGCAACGCTTTAGTAAATAGAAACCTTTCTAAGGAAAGAATCAATTATTCATGATTATATCACTGATCAGGAGATAGGTAAAAACAGTAAAAAGTAAGGCAGGAAAATTGAGGTGTAGCAAGAATTATTTCTTGGAACGTGTGGTCGATACCTTACGTTACGTGAATTACGATCAATGCCTCTCGATTATCTCTCTTTAATTAAGCAGATCTCTGCTGTTTTGTACTTTGTACAACACCAGCTTCGCATGCTACAATAATATATTCAAGTTAGCGAGAACCTTAATAGATTGAAATCATTCCGAATCTTATTACACTGCCATTATGAATTTTTTTGTTTTTTTTTTTTATTAGCAAGAATTGCTATAAAATTATACTAATAATAACTAGGTGAATACAAACATTTCATATTAAAGATAATGGCACAAGCTGAAATTTTAATCCACGCCTCCAAATGATTCCGAACCTTCGATGGCCTTAATCAGTTTCTCTCTCAACTCTTCGTACACTTCATATGGGGGTAAATCTATTCGATTGAAACTAGAAAACAAATATAATGTATTAAATACAGATTTACTGGAAAAAATTTATTATAATTTTTTTACTACCATCACTAACAATTTGAAGCAGGCAAACATTTAATTAGTAGTTATTACAATTTTTTTTTCTTGTGTTAATACACAATTAAACTTTTAGGGCTTATCACACTGACTCACTTGACAAAACTCCTTTTGTCAAGTGAGTCAGTGTGGTAAGCCCTAATAAATGGCCTCTACATTAGGTGTATAACATTCTATTAAAATTGTTATACACCTAATGTTTAAATTACCAAAAATGTCTGACTGAGGAGGGGCCACTGTAAAGCCCGAAATGCATGTTAGATTGGTAACAGTATGAATGTATATAGGTGTACATGAGTAAATAATAAACTCCTCTTGTCAAGTAAGTCAGTGTGATATGCCCTAAAAGTTTAATTGTGTATTAACACAGAAAACTGTAATAATAATAAGGGCAAGACGCTATAGTAGTATAATTTAATTGGTAAGTTATAAGTTCATAAATAAAATTATACATTGTCTTTCACATATATTTAATTGCACACATCTGAATAATATATATCTATTATTTACCATGTATGCGAACGAGGTAAATTATTAGGTGCTCCCCATTTCTCTATAGTAAACAACTGTGGACCGTTACTTCCGTAGAGCTCTTTAAAACCATTCATAGGTACACGAGAAGTTCCCGTCACAAACTGCAATAATCTTGCTCTCATTTCATTATTAAACGAAAGAAGAACCTGAAAGAATTTTATTTAAAATATAAGCATATATATACATACAAGTATTCAAGTAAATTAATCAAGTTATTATAAGTTTCACACTAAAAAAATCAAACATTATTAAAAAATTTTATGCATAAAGCCACATTACTTATTATTATTTTAATTATATTCTACTTTTCAACAAGTGCTCAAGTGGTGGTGTCACGCGAGTTATCCATCTCCTGGCTGATGGTATGAAAAGTTCTGCAGTCCATTTTAAAACATGTATTTGTTTAAGATCTACATTGCACAAAAGCTGCTACCTTGCAAAAGACACACTGATTTTGCTTTCTGGTTTTTGTCAAGAATAGCCGCTGATGTTTCGTGACTGTGGAGAATTCTGTGGTCAGATGAAGCTTGCTTTCTGTTAGATGGAATGGTGAATAATCAGAACCGTAGCACATGGGGCTCCTTGCGGCCCAATGTTGCTCACCAAAAGTCACTGCATCCTGATTACGTGACCGCATTATGTGGATTTAGTGCTGATTTTATTATTGGGTTGTTTTCTTTGAAAATCTCACTCGTGAAGATCCTAAAAGATGCTTTGTCATGAGTGTGCGTTACTGTGAACTCCTTCAATAAGTAAGTCATTCCTGCTTTACAGGAATGGCAATGTTTACAGATCACTGTCTTCATTCAAGATGGAGCAGCTCCCCACATTGGACAACAAGTCAAGGAACTGTTTTAAGCTAACTTTGGTGAGGATCATGCAATATCCAGAGCTTTTCGGGATACCTGGCCTCCTCATTCACCAGACTTAAATCTCTGTGCTTTCTGGTTGTGTGGATTCCTAAAAGGTCGTATTCATTGAGGAGAGATTAGGACTTTGCCCAAATTGAAAGCCAGTATTGCATGCCATATTGCTGAATTTCCTGGAGATTTTCTTTGCGCTACCATTGAACATGCTGTATCATGCTTTGAACACATAATTAATGTGGAGTAGGGTTTCTCATTTCACAGGATTTCGAAAAAAAAATAAACTGTTTCCCAGGATCCCGGGATATAATTAATTATTTTTAAAATATAAAAAATATCTTGAAATCGAATGATATAATTATTTTTCATTTTTAAAAGTAATTTAATACAGTCTGCAACCTCCAAAATCATAATATTAATAATGCTGTGTAAAATATATATTAAAATTACCTTTGAATTATGTAGAAATTTTTACAAATAGAAAAATATTTATTACAGTTTGTTGGAAACTACTTACAAAAAAATGCCTTTGAATTGAGTTGAAAATTTAAAGAAAAAATGAACTTAGATCAAACTTCTAACTTAGAAGGTAATTTTCATTTTTTAAATAAAACATAATATAGAAGTTTACAATAATATTTTGTAATAAGATTTTGAAAACCAAAGATAATCAATACTCCGATCACTCAATCTGGTTACTATTTTAATAATGAAAAGTCCCACTACTGAAAATGTCCTTTCCAATTCAATAGATGTGGGTGGAATCGTCTTTAATGCATTTAAGAGAAGATAAATGTTATGTATTTTTTCACCCATAGCCTGGAAGATTTCTAGTCCATTTTCGAGATGCGTTACAGTATTTCTTTTGCTGTCTAGTAATCTTGATTTGTCTACCTCAGCTGCTATTAAAGCAGCCGAGGTAGACAAATCAAGCTTATAACCCGATAATTTGGTTGGTTTGGCTTTAATAATCAGATGGTGTAAAACAACGGAAAGAAAGACTGAAGCAGAGTTTCATCTTTGTTAAAAGTTGTATTTATATTATATTTATTATATTATTATTTAATAATCAGGTTTATGAAGAAAAACTTCATACTTGCATACTTCATACTCGTTTATATTCTTGCCCAATTTGCACAATCTGGCATAATGCAGTTATCGAAGATACTGGGCATAGTTAAAATTAAGACAGTATCAGCGCAATTATTCCAGGTTCTGACAGGTAAAGAATTTTCAGAGTCCTGCCACAAATACATATTGATTATTGACAATCTATGAGATGTCATAACAAGCAAAAATGTAGAAAACTAACAAGTAGGTTTAAAATTAATAAATACAAATGTATTCTGACATTTTATGAGTTAATTATACTTTCTATTTGAAAAATTTCCTCAACATTAACACAAAAGAAGAAAAAAGTGAACTTTTAAGAAATTTGCAGGATTTCCCAGGATGAGAAGAATTTCCCAGGTTAAAAAAACAGCCGAGATCCTGTTTGAGAAACCCTAATGTGAAGCATACATTAAACACATTCTTTGATTGAATCAAGTTTAATGTTTCTGACTTGTTTCTGTCCTTTAGGTGCCACATTTTCACCTAGTGGTAGAATTTTGAACTATTTTTTTACTGACAAAAACTCTCCCATGGTCTATATAACAGATATTTCAAGTTTCATCAAAATCTGATAAGCAGAATGGGCTCTACAGGGGCCCGAATAGGGTCGGTTTAATAATAACCACCCTGTACTGTGCATGTCAATAAACATTCACTAACAATTTTCTATATCTGTATTAAAAACGTATATTTAATGTATTCAAAATAACTTAATTTAAATTTCCGAATTGTTGATCACAAGAATTTTATTGTGCTGTACTCTTTACAATTATTACACTAAGCTATGATTTATGTATTATGGTAGACTTGTTCTTTTCTGCTTAGATTTCCTTCCAGTTGTAACAATCAGTAAAATCTAAGTTTTCTTCTGCTTTTAACTAAAATCCAATTAAGAATTTTTTTTATTATGTTAAGTTGCTTCTACATTTGGAATTATTAAAACAGCGTATACAGCCAAACTTATAAAATTAAAAATTACAAATAATATACATTCAAATTTATTTAATATTTTCGACAAATGTAAATGAATAATGAACTGAAAACCATGAAAGTGTTTTTTTGTTTCTATACTTTATGAAAGTGTTTAATTAGTCTTGATTTTAAGTCATTTACTTAAAAAGATTTCTCATATTTATGAAATGCTTTGTATATTTGTCAGTTAAAAAATTACAAATGACCTTATATTAAAATTCTGTAATAACAAAAGAATTTGTTGTGGAGGCCCAGAGCAAACTGGAAGTTTGTATTAGTTAATTGGGTTATATGTAATGTTATTACAGTTATTTCAATTCAAAAATTTTCCCCTGAAAGGAGTTAGATAGATGACCAGCATGACTCACTTGTTAAAGGAAAAGTATGATGTACAGGGGCAAGACACTACTAATTTGAGGTGGAGAGCATATATTTTAAATTAAATAATGTCACAATAAATAATTGCTTGTTTGTATGTAAGTATTTATATATATAAATAATTAAAAGTATTGAAAGAAATTAAAAAGTTGTCTTATTTGAATAAAGTAATATTAAGTTATAAAGTCCATACAAATGAATCAAAAAACACAACACCTTAATTTGCTGAGATAAATTTTAATGTAAAGCAAACGTTTTCAGCCAAATCTGTTGGCCATCATCAGGCTAAGAACATTCGAATAGAAATAAAATAGAACAAAAATTTAAATACAAATAAAATAAAATAACAAGCGAAATATATATATAAATGTATAAATAATAATAATATAAATAAAAATTATTAATACAAATAACAAACCATGTATATGAAAAAAAATAAGCATACGTTAATTAAATATTAAAACGTTATATAGAAAATTCAGTGAAATGAAAGTTATGCAAAAAATATTAAAATCAACGCACTAAACTAAGAGCTGTCCATTTGTTTGATTAAGTATTTCCAGGCCGAAGGCAACCCTTCAGAATCTCTAGAATTGATGCATGAATCATGCAATTTGCTTTTATATATTTCAATTTTTTCGGCACAAATCGCCAATGTCAGTGAATTTACTGATTTAATAATTTCTGCTTCGTCCCATTTGATGATTGAGCCCTCAACTTGCGCCATTTGCGATAGTATTGTGGCATTTTTTTTTATTTATATACTAATGCTGAGTGAGTGTACATCAGTCCATACAAATGTTTATAAAAAAAATATTTTTTCTTAAGTTTGTTGCCACAAGTCAAATCATAAATGTATTGACCTCAGAATGCTAAATAACAACATGCATTGATTACTTTTAAGTGGGTTGCTACCCACTTAAAAGTAACGAATCACTATATGCAAAAATGATTTGTTTAGCTCGACACCAAATATATTTTTGGCTCAGAGCTTTCATAATTTGCTGTAACCAAACATTATTATGTATTAAAGTCCAATGACATATTGACAGTAATAAAACTTTTAAAAATAAATAAATAATAATAATAAACACATTAATATTCCTACATAATTTATTTATTTTTTATATTCAAATTAACAAATTGTGATGAATAATCGATTGTTTCAAAGATTTTGTTTAATATTTATATTAATAGTAGTAAATACATAAATCAAATCATAAGTTATTTATACAGTAGATGGGAATGAGTTAATATTTATCATTTTGTATTTTAACCTTTATGTTTATATGTCCAAGATAATTTAAATTTTTTTCAATTAAATATAAATATATAAATGTGTGAATGAGTGTGTGTTTATTTGTAATCATGATTTCTAAAATGAATTTTTATAATACTAAGATAATAAATTTATAACATTTTTGATTAAATGAAAACATTAGATTATCTTTAAATACATTAATGATAAAGAAAAAAAATATAAAATTATTTTTAACAAATAAACAAATAAGTACTTACTCTCCAAAACCATTGAATTACAATATGATTCGGATGATATCCACCCTTATATACAGTATTCTGTTTCCAATCCTTAACATCAATTTTTCCAATACCACACATCAAGAGTTCTAATTCGTGCTCATCAAACACTTTAATTAATGATAAAGGTACAATTTCATTGAATCCTTCTAGAAGGGAATTCATTTGTGGTTGTATCCGTGACATAAATCTCCATTTGATGACGAGTCTGTTTGAGAAAGATAAAAAAAATAATTATTATTTAATATAGCATTGTAATCCACAATTCTATTTTAGCATATTTAAAATACGAAATGAAAATCAAATGACTCAAATTAATAATTTCAGTTGACAGCCAAGCACTTTGAATTAATTACATTTCAAACTTAAGTAACTAAATTAATAACAACAAAATGTAATTCTTAATATATTTTAATAACAAAACATAGCAATTTTTTTTATTTATGACTAAAGACTTTTTGTTCTATAGCCAGACAATCTCACTGATTTTTTCAGGCATTTTTTGTTCATCAAATTTTTAAAATAGCAAAACATCCTGAGTTTAATACAGCAATTCTTTTCATTGATATGTATTTGTTTTTTCACAATTAACAATAGATGCATTTCAGACTGTCTGACTTCATCATCAGTCACTTTTTTTATATTATTGGTTATTACTTACATGCATTGCTTTTCTACATAATAAATCCATCATTATATAAGACATCAAAAGGATGAGAAGCTAGTGTTCAACAAATAATGAAACAGAGTAATGTAAATACTTCCTTATTTCTGTTAGCATTTGACTGAAATGTAGATTTTAAATTTATATAAAAGTCTATTTTTTTTTTTTAAATTTCTTAAATGATTGAAAATCTTGAAATATTTTCAATCTTTTAACCCCTTCCACCAACAGCTGAATTTCCATTGCATTTGTCTCCCTGCAATTGTGCATTCTACTCCTTTTTATTCCCAAAGAAGTGCTAGCTTGGCTAGCTATATGCCACCCAGCATATTTGTTAGTCTCCTCACAAATATGATTGATTATCTCATCTTTATAGAGGGACTTGAAAATTCCTAATACATCATTCAGATCAGTTACTTGCAATTTTACTCTCTCATCACTGAAAAATTCAAATGGCTCCCTGATTTGTGACAAATTTTGCAATCTCAACCACGCAGAAACATTGACAAAAAAATCAGAATCTGATTGTAACTTGCATGACACAAATATATATGCAGAATAATATACAATATTTACACATAAATGAATAAGTATCTACTGGTATATGCATCTGTCATAAATATGCAACAATCAATATACCCACCAGCTAAGTAATTTTAGAGCTACTGTGTAAACAAACAGTCACAAAATCTGCCAGGCACCATCCAGAGGACTGCGGTTTCTTTCGTTTGAAAGAAGATTGTTATAACTAAGTAACAAATAAAGTGAATAAAGCATAACTTTTAGCATTAATTTTTTCCTGTGATTGTTGGAAACTTAGAATTTAATTATTATTTTAAATTTGTATCATATTAAAAATTTAACAATTGTACACTGTGATATGTTTCGGATCAAAACAAAAATCAAAGCAATTCTAGTGCAATTTTGAAGAAGATATCGCAATTTTAAAAATTATATAAAAAAATGCACAATTTCCACATAATAAAAAAACTGACTTATAAAAAAGACTTTTCCACAGATAAAGGGTATTAACATAAAAAAACATCGAAGCAATTCTCTTAAAAATAAAACATTAATCACTTAATTTTTTTATAAAACAACATCTTTAATGAGGTCTAACAATAACTGCTAAAGAAAACAAAACCAATGAAGTCAAGTGCTATTTTTGTATTAAAATTGTAAGAATCTTTATCATAAAACACTTGAAATATTTTAAGATAAAGTATTGTGTGTAAAGAGATTTAAAAAAATTAAATTTAGTTTTAAAAATTATCTGATAGCAATGTTGAAAGTTTCATAAATTTGTATTTAAATAACAAAAAAAAATTATATCTTACTCGATATATTCCATCTTGTTTTCCTGACAGACAGAAATGTTGGCACCTTCAGGTTTTAATTCTCTTTGCTGCATCTGACCAAATAAATCTTCATCGATCGAGAATCTCAAATCTAATTCTGCTGGATCGTTTTCCATAATCCAAAGGAGGGAATTGTAATATTCAGAATCCTGAAAGTAAATTACAAATTGATGAATTACTTCTTTACTTAGCAAAATATTTTATTAAAATACTATTAAGAATGATTCAAAACAGATTCATACTATTTGTGCTCTTGTGAATTATTTGAACATATATAAAACAAAATATTGATTGTGAAAGTAAGTTATTATTTGGTAAATTATTGTAACTGAATTGGCGCAGAATCTTTGAGACCAGGTTAATCACGAATATAAACAGTTCTGAATTCCTATGCAAGTTCATTTTGACTTTTTCAGATTAAATCAATAGAACAAGGCAATGCAACATTGGGTTGCCTCCTCATGCCCTATTTAGATGTTAAACATGTAAAGAAAATATGAAAAACTTTACACAGCTGGCTCATTAATGAGGTACAAATCCATAACCAACTACTGGTTCAGTGGTTTTATCACTTGCTTTTATCAGGGTCAATAATTAACAATCACTTTCCAGGCATTGTTGTCATAATGGATTTAATATGGCATTTTCTAAAACACTTGCAAAGAAACATGTTATTAAGCTGGAAAACTAAAGTATGATTAAACTAACTGGTTGCAGTGCAGAGCATAACATACATTTTTATGTGCAAGTGGCCAGTAATGGCATTAATTCCACTTTTTAAACTAGTTTAAAGACTAGGTGATCTATTGACTCTTATTAGAATAAGTATGAAATGTCAGAAAGCATTTGAACAATTTTAGGGAATATTGTCATATAATATATAATTATGTCATAAGTCATAATTTTAACATAACCTTTTATTTCTCTAGCTGCTTTGCTAAAGTATCATGCAGCTCTAACACTACACAACAGAAAAAAAAATTTTTTTTTAATACCTCTGGCATTAGGATAGTTGATTCTCATAGAAAAATACTCTGGATTTCAAAAATCACTTTCAGATTTTCCTATTGTACAAGGATCAAATGGTAAAGATACATCTTTTTATAATGGTACACATACAGAATATCATGTGGATATGGTAAATGTACCTGCAAAAATCATCCTAATGTCATTTTATTTCTTTACTTATATTGTTTTGAACATATACGAGGATGGATATATGAGGATGAGAACCTATATTTTTATGTGGAATTTGAAACAAATTTAGACCCTGCACGATATCAAAAGCTTTGCATCTGAAGTGGCTGTTCTACAGGCTGAATATGATTTTTACCCATATTAATATTTATCTGCAGCTAAGTTTTATAATAAATAGTAAATGAAAATAGAATAAAATGCCAAATAACATGATTGCATGCAAAGTTGGACTTTATGCAAGCAATCATATAAAAAAGGAACAGGAGAAATGTAAGTTGACAAATTTCCACAGCAATTTTTTGAGGGTTTGTGACTGTGTAAAAAACTTTTTGATCAAAATTTTTACACAGATGCATAGCACACAGCACGAGAATATTACAAGTATGTCATCACAATGAAAAATTACTGCAAAAAAACTATTACAGTAGAGCGTCGTTTATCCGAAAGCCGATTAACTGAAAGCTTTCCAGTCGGCAAATTTAAATTTCCACTAGTGCAGTGGCGCTGCAACCTTTGTCTATGTCTTGGGCTACTCCAATAATTTTTTGTTGGTGTGTGTGTTTTAGCTGGCAGCACTGGCACTTTTGTGTGGTGTGTTTCTGAGGATGTGTGTTTTGATACTAGATTAACTTCTAAAGTATAATTTTTTTTTGTTTTTATATTTTTCAATATATTTATTTTGTTTGTACAAAATAAAGAAATAATTTTTAACGATACAATAGCCACGATTATTATTGTAGAAGTTTTCGTTACGCTTAACATCATCAAAAATTCAACACGAAGCGACACGCAATGGAGGAAAATTTCAACATGGGATAGGTTATATTTTTTTTGTACATAATCGGTTATCCGAACAACCCCAGTCCTCAAATGATTCAGATAAACGATGCTCTACTGTATGTGCAAAAAGTCATCACCATCACACAGACTGTGAACTGACAAACTATAAATTTTTTTCACAACAAGTAAGTCTCTATCCAAAAAGAATACCAAGAGAATGTTTTCCAAATTACTTACCACAGATTCCATATCTTTTAGTGTTATTGGCTTTCCCAACATCATTTTATAAAATGGACGAATGAAAAATGCTGTAAGAAAACAAGAGAGATTTTATAATAAAATGTAGTAAAAATAAACATCAAATATATTCACATCATGTAAATTATAAAGTTAAGATTAACAATACACAGTTAAACTTCCATATAGCAAACTGCTTGTAAAAAACAGAGATTTTGTTACAAAGAAAATTCATTAAATGGAAAAAAAAAACGTACTCCGCTATAACATGTTTTATTTTCAACACAAATATCCTTGTAATCTTATTAATAATAAAATAAACTTCTATGTATGCAGTTTATAAAACAAATATCAAACAAAAGATGATATTTTTATTGTGTGAGCCTGACTGTTTACGGATCCGAATTTTTATAAATTTCTAAACTGTTAAAACAGTTCTTTTTGAAAGATTAACGTAAACATCCCCGATAGAAAAAACTCTCCTTGCAGAGTATTGGATCAGATGTCACCTTTTGTATCAACAATCAAGTGGAAAAGTTGACACAGTCGTCAAAGAATGCAAGTCATCATCAACAATGGACAAACATGTGACCCCTCTCCCACGATACTGATATAAAAGATGAAGTAACCGGAAGCTCAGGCGATTGACTGGAACTTGTACTTGAGATAGTGCATATTTTAGCCTCTGTATCTCCGATCCTGCCCGAAAAGACAGCGGATGAGGACTATGATACTTCCATACCTGGTAACCGATCCTCACCTATAGCTCTCCATCAACACATAGAGGTAATTGTTAGAGGTCTGCGAACTCGCTCAACAGAAATAGGCATAGCTGTTATAGATTAGCCCTGTTGTGAATAATATATCTTGTAATCGCAGTTTAACCGCATTTAGTTGCATCTAGCCTTCTATAACCCGAATGTATTTAGCCATAAACATTCTCGTGTATCTTAGAGTCAGAAATTCATTAAACCTTTATCTTGTTATCTGTTAAAAACCTGTCTCCTGTCTATTTGGGAACCCGGACACCTATCGACTTGTTCTTGTTTTTACAGTTAAGAAGTGCTATCCTTTCTAGCTAGGACTTTGCCCTGTAAGAATATGAAAGAAGAGTTTAGGAAAGTTGATGATTAGGAGGAAGAGGAAATAAAGATAGATAGGACAGTGTGAAATAAGAAATAGCCCAGAGCCCTCCACTGGATCCCATGGGTGCCGCCTCGCATTTATTAAAATCAGAAAACAATTACATTTGAAAGTATGTACATATATACAAGGCATTAACAATGTTTATACTCCTTTGTTGGGAGAGCCGCTCGGTGGATCAAGAGCCTTACTCTCCTTAATAAATTTGATGATGGCTTTCATCAAATTTTTGTTGTCGATGAAATTGTGCTCACCAGGAGGCCAATTGAAACCTTCCTTGAGACAAGTCCTCATCAGTTTTAGTCTTTGGTCTCTGTATTTGATACAATTGCAGATCAGATGTTCTACGATGTCTTCAGAATTTATGTTGACTTCGCACTCTGCCTACTTAGAACGCTTCCTGAAGCGTTCTAAGTAGGCATTGAATGCCCCGTGTCCAGTGAGACATTGTGTGAGTTCGTAGCTTGGGTAGAAACTTTTGGTTTTGTGTCATCTTTCGATTGAAGGAATAAATTTGTAGCATTGTCTTCCAGTGTTTGAGTTGTCCCATTCCCCTTGCCATAGGATCCTGATTTCTTGTCTTATATAGCAGTACACATAATTAACTGGGAAACGAGTGTATGTAACGTTTGAGTTCATCCTTGCTTTTTTTGCCAATTTGTCAGCAAGTTTGTTTCCTCTATAACCACTGTGACTTGGTATCCATTGGAACATGATTTCAAATTGCTGCCCTAGGTCATGGGCAAGAGCAATTAGATCCGCTGCGAGTGCCGAGCTTGTTTTCATTGTTTTGAGAATATATAAGCGACCTTGCTGTCCGTGAAAATGGTTATCTTTTTTGGTGTTGTCAAATTTAGTTGTTTTATGTATGAGATGGCCTTATAGATCACCCATAACTTGGCTTAACACCTATCAACTTACCAATGTGCTCCCCATTCAATATTTGACCACCTAAAGCCATCCAGTGACAAAGTAAATGAGTTTTACCAACTCGACGATTAGAGGGCTCTGTACCCATGCCCGTATTCTCACAATTGGAATAGATAAAAAAAAACTGTTAAGAATATTTATTATAATAATATCAGTAATAAGTATTTATGTTGAAATGAAAATACAAGCAAAAATTACTGACTTTTCCTTGCATTTTCTGTTGCAAAAAGTTATTTACTTCAAGTGAACAATTCTAATTTTATTTAAATAATTGAAACATTCATCTGAAACACTTTCTTGTTGATTTGAAACTATCCTCTGTTACAGATGTTTTAACATCTTTAGTAGTAATATAGTATGGTAACCTACACTTCCACTATACCAATAATGACATTCAGCAATGGAAGTTGAAGAAATAAATTAATATTTTTTAAAATTTCACCTGGCTTTCAGAAGTTTGTTACATGGAATTTAAACTTCCTTAAATACAAACATTTTTAAATGTAAAAAATACACATGTTTCACATAAAAATGTATTAAAAAAAAATTGGTATAGTAGAATTTCTAAATGTAGAAGTCCAACTGTATATTAATCTGTATATCTGATACATGTATTATGTAAGAAAAAAAAATAATGTTATAGAATATAGCATAAAACAACTTATTTTGTTTAGAATTTCTTATTAAAGAAATTCTAAACAAAATAAAAATTAATTATAGTAATTTTTTAAAAAATATACTGCAACAAATCTGTGAATTCATTAGCAATTTTAAACTTATATTAAAATATATAAATATATCTAAGCTACAAAATTGTCTTTGTTTTCCATCATTATATTTATATATTTTATATTTTAAAATGCAAATGTGAATACCATCAGCCAAATTTTTAAATTTAAACAATTTTAAATCTAACCATCAAGAAGTTTTCCATGATAGACTGCCATTCCAGCTATTCGACCAATAAACTTGAAATATGAAAGGTGTTCTTCATTGCACATACCCGAAAATGGATTAATTTGTAATGTATAATTATCCCTAGAAAAGAAAAAAAAAATTAAAATAAATAAATATAAATAAAGACTTTATTAATCTGAATAATTAATTTCTTGAATTTTACAGAAAACTATATCATTTTTAATGAATAAAACAAAATTATAAGCTTTATTGTTTACTTTTAATATGAATACATAATGAGATATAAATATTTATTTCCTAACATACAAATTCATTGTCACCTGCAGGTCAATAATTTTACTTTTATTAATCTCCACAAAACTTTTTTGTATTCTGTAAACATTTAACTAACCATGATAGATATTTCTTATACCATTGCTAAGATATCCACAACATACTAGGCTCAATTCTTTTTATCATTTAATTGCCAAGCAGTGAGTAGCAGAATTATTGAATCATACAAAATAACATTTCATTAAAATATAGAAACTGGAATAATCATCTGTTATATACCGACAAAAACATTAATGCCTGTTTTTCTAACTATCTACTCCATCAATTATATAATTTAAATGATAACTATAAAATTCAAGTTGTCATTGAATCTCAACATCAGATCTTATACTGCTGCAGAAGTGTTTGATCTGATGATATGATAATGTCTCAAAAAAAAAACAACCGAAAATAAATGCATTAATTAAATTAATATGACTCAATGTCCTTGATTTATTATAATATAAATTTTTCGTCTACTAGTACGTATTTTCTATTATCAGGACTTATTAGACTGGCTTTACAGATACTGCAACAAAGTTTCACAGATCAGAAATTTTTTTTATTTAATATACCTAGACACATACATAATATTGCATTTCGGACTCTTTTGTCCCTCCTCAGCAGGTATTTATGTTGTACATTCTATATAATTAAAAACAATAAAATAATCTTTTAAAAACACTGCATTTTACATTTTCTGACAATCTTTGTTATTTATTTACCGACATTAACATAAAATTCTTACAATTTCCGAACTTTTTCCCTTCATTCTCAGTTCCACCAGATATTAACAGCAGTAATACTGTAAACCTAAACCTATATTTTGGACAAATTATTAAAGTTTAACATTATCTCTGTTTTTTACATTTATACACTATTTTCACAACTTACATCTCTTCCTGTATAATAAAACAAATTTCTGATCTGTGAAACTTTGTTGCTTTATCTGTAAAGCCAGTCTAATAAGTCCTGATAATAGAAAATACGTACTAGTAGACGAAAAATTTATATTATAAATGCGTTAATTCTTCTAAGCTGTATAGCAATTCTTTGAATTAGAAAAACATTAAGATTCATCACAAGATTTTGTTTGCAAACAATTATTTGACAAAGTGAATGTAAAGCGTGTGCGATATTTTTAATTTTTTTTATTTTCTTCAAATATAATATAAAAAAGTTGAATATCTTTTAAAGAAATTAGAAAGGTCTATCAAACATCCTAGAGCCCGATATATATACAGTTTAAACTGATTATAATGCAGTGGATGTAACGACAACCCTAATATAACGTCAAATTTTTATCGGTCCCACGATTTTACTATACTAGATAATGTTAAAAAACCCACTTGTAATGACATAAAACCCTGTTTTAACATCATATTTGAAGCACACTCAAATTTACAAAATTAGATTACAAATTTTATTTAACAAAGAAAATACTGTGTGTTCAGTTCTAAGGTCAGAGTCCACGTCCTAGAACGACTGTGGGTGGTACTTCGGTGGAGTGAGATTCACCACCCCTTTAAATGACGTGACTGTCGGTTAGTCTGCATAGCCCTCATACTGGTGTTGTAGTTTAGCATCAAATCAGGTAAAATGGCTAGCTTAAAAAGGAAAGCGTTAACGTTAGACTGCAAAGTAGAAATAATTAAAACAGTTGAAAGTGGAAGAAAAAAGACAGATGTATGCAGAGACTTTGGTTTAGAAAATTCTACTGTGTGCACAATAATAAAAAACAGAGAGAAAATTTTGAAAAGTTTTCAAGATGGAAAGGACAAGTGAAAAAAATTAAGTTATGTGAAAAAGCCAATATTGATGACGCTCTAATTAAGTGGTTTAACCAATGCAGAAGTTCCAACTTACCACTAAATGGACCAATACTAATGGAAAAAGCAGAAGAATTTGGACGACTACTAGGCGATACTAACTTTAAATGTTCTAATGGATGGCTAGACCGTTTTAAACAAAGACATAACATAAGTTTTGGGAAAGTGTGTGGAGAAGCAAAAAGTGTAAATTTACTGGACGTTGAAAACTGGTTAAGAGATGTGTGGCCTAAACTAAGGGGAGAATATGCAGATGAAGACATTTATAATGCAGATGAAACCGGGATATTTTACAAACTTTTACCGGATAAAACATTTAAATTTAAAAACGAAAAGTGTGTTGGTGGAAAACTTGCGAAAGATAGGATAACAGCTTTTGT